AGGAGGCCGATTCGGGCCATCACAGGGACTTCACCATGAGAAATGTGGATTTCACTCGTGAATAATGGATCAATACCTAAATGAATGGTTCATTAGGTTCATTGCTAGATATTTCATGGAATATTTCATGTGATACACCACCTTAATATGATTTGGGCCTGAACCTGATGGGCCAACGGATGGGTGGTGAAGTTCAACAATTTGATGGGACTGATATTGGCGATATTCTCCAATAAGATGGTACTGCGTACGGGTCTACCTGAAAATGCTTGCTGGCACTGAAAAATTGTTAACACATGATGATGAACTAAATATAGCGTACCCCATTTTCAGACAAACCCATATCTACCTACTGTAAATGACTGGGTCATGTTTAGGGTAGATGTTGGTAAATATTCCATAATTACATGGAGATACATGGAGCATTTGGGTTCGGAAAGATGGTCGTACGTATACAAAGTATGTCTCCAGAAGGATATATTTGAAATGTTGGTGGTCAGATACTCAGATAGATTCCAGATAGATTCAGGCATACTCAGCATTTCAATGGAATGCTGATGGATGATGCTATACGCATCTATACGCTAGTTTTACTTTTTTTGCTACCAGTTATAAGGCATAGCACACATGTTTCTTTAAGAGATTCCATGCTTGCAGATTTGTGCAGCCAGTACGTGCCAAACTTGAACACGCAGAAACGTTTACAGTCGAAGGATACAGACAGAGGCTGATTACCTTCAGAGAGTTTCACCATGATCCGAGTCAGGTTGTTAATGTTGAAGTTTCACACGTTGATTTGCCATGAAAGCATGCATCCTCCGCGAGTTATATCAGACCGACACGTCAGTAGAACTGATGGCAAGTATAGAATGGGCTAGCGCCCAGGTGCCGCCGACCCCCCTTTATTTGGGGGGGACTGTGGAGAGAGAGAGAGAGAGAGAGAGGGGGGGAGAGAGAGAGAGAGAGAGAGAGAGGAGAGGGAGAGATGGATGGATGGATAGATGGATGGGGATGGATGGATGGATGGATGGATGGATGGACGGATGGACGGATGGATGGATGGATGGATGGATGGAGAGATAGATAGACAGACAGACAGACAGACAGGTAGACATGTGAATAGATGATAGATTGATGGATAGATAGAGGGATAGAGAGAGAGAGAGAGAGATAGATTGATAGATAGGTAGATAGACAGCTTGATAAACAGGTGGATAGATATTGTTGGACAGATGTATAGATAGAGGGACAGAGAGAGAGAGAGAGGGAGAGAGAGAGAAAGAGAGAGAGAGAGAGAGATATAGATGACAGATAGGTAGATAGACAGTTGGATAAACAGATGGATAGATCGATTGTTGGATAGATAGATAGTGGCATAGGAAGAAAGACGGATGGATTGATATATACTTTGAGTGTCAAGGACCCTCCGTTTTTAGGACTGTCATTGTAACCTCATGTTTTTTCCTGCCTGCTGCTGGCTGCTGGTGCTGGCTGCTGCCTGCTGCTGCCTACTCCTGCTGCTGCAGAGGCTTTTGCTGCTGGTGCTGGCTGCTGCCTGCTGCTGCCTACTCCTGCTGCTGCAGAAGCTTTTGCTGCTGCTGCTGCTGCTGGTCCCCGGATGGGAAAACACCATGGCAGTGAAGGACGGAGAAACCCCAAAATTGCACCCCGTAAATGCCTAGCGAAAACGCATAGAAAATGATGATTTTGGTTACTTTTTCCTCTTGCTGCTGCTATGAATTTTGGCTACCTTTTCCTCCTGCTGCTGCAGAGGCTTTTGCTGCTGCTGCTGATCCGTGACCCGTTGTTGTATTTCTTGGTGTCCACAACCTCTCTTCCCTGCCGCGCTCCCCCTTGCGGTCGACCGGGGTCGGCGGATATACATATACATGTTTTTTTCCAGCCGGCTTCATTGCACATGATTCCGGCGTAGTTTCCAGGATTCCTGAAATTTCCGGGCATAAATTTGGCAGAAAATTTGGCATCCGGCAGAAAAGAAATCCCAAAAGAGTTTCTAGGTAGAATAAGCCACGGGTGGATCAAAGACTGGCTGAGGGCACCGAATTTTGTTTCAAGTCATCACCTTTTTTTCAACCTGTTGGTCTAAGCATTGCTGAAGCACCGCGATGGTTGAGACTCATTCGATGCATTCGATGCATCCTTTTGGCTCAGCCGCGGCAGCCGACTGGCAGCCGCTCGACTGGGCTGGGATGTTTCGGTGTGCGTGCATCAATGCTGTGATTCTCAGTGGCTTGGCCAGTTCATCCCCATTTTTTACAGGATGAAGGCGTGGTGAAACTAACAATTTCTTAGAAGCTCAAGATTTTCATAATTTTACATTGATCAGATAGATGAACCCATTGTCCACAGTTTGTGTGCTGGGATAACTTTTTGTTTGGTTGGTTTTCACAGGTGAATCTTCACTATATAGATAGAAAACACATAGAACAAGATCACGATGTTGCTGTTCTTTTGAACGTCTAACTATGTGTGTCCCAGTTGTGTGCTCTTAAAACAGCCCCTCTGGAGGTTTGCGACTTCCAGTGAGCTTTGCATATCGTATACTCAGCGAGGCCAATCACCCTTGACGATGGTTTTGTCGATGGTTTCTTTGATGAAATCCGAAGCATTTCGTAAAGCCAAGGACTCGACCAATCCATGTTTTCATTTCAGTGTGACAAAATATCATCCAATGATTCAGGTTCAGGGTTTAGGCAGCCTGAGATCTGAAGTACATGTTGTAGTATCTTCTAGATGGCAAATGGTTTTGACATGTTGTGACCCTCTTTAAGTATAAGTGCTTCTAGGCTTGGGGTACAATCCTTTCGGGGATGTTCGCTTCGGGCTTCCGATAGGCGCAACGTTGCTTCATTGGTTCCTTGGGTTGAACCACCACGAAACAAAAAGCTCAGCTACAGATGGATGATTACTTGGCAACCATTCATGGTAATTGAAGATCATGAGTCACAAAAATAGCCATATCAGTCATGTTCTATCCATTGGATTGGCAAAAACGGGAATATGTTCCTGAAACCCCCATAATGGTGAAAACCATGGTTTCCTGTATTAAGATGTTCCCTCAATGATTCTATCCATTGGGAGGTTTGTTAAAGAACATCTCCATCATCTGCAAGCCCAGCACGCAGGACTTGGAGTCGACTCGCAGGGAGGACGTGGAACCTCCGACTGAAGCCCAGCAACAAAAGGAGTTGGGTGCAGATGGCCCACCGTGGGGCTCACCGTGGGGGATCTGCGGATCCCTTAACGATCCAGCAAAAACACCGATGATGGTTGGAGCTTGGAGAAGAATATGCCCAAACAGCAAAAATTGGATGGGTTGGAACCGTCAAACATATACTATACACATATATAATAATATTGTATGTGTATATATATATATATGCATATTGAATTCGAGGGTCTGAAACTGACATAGTTATTTTCACTAAGTCGATTTATACCCATACATAGATGGTGTTTTTCCATAGTTTTGTTAGTTTACCAGAGGGTATTTGATTTTGACTCTGACCCCATTTCTCCAGGAGTTCTTTCAATGCACTCGTCAGTGTCGCTGGAAGTTTGGCAACACCTTTGATTTGACCATTGTGGGTGGTCGCAGCGGTTGGAGCGACTGCCAATGCTTTCGCCACTTGGTCAGAGAACGGCCGCCTGTGGAGTCCTCCAGTCATTGGGTTGGTGAAACCTGAGCATTTCGACGGTGATTGGGTTGGTGATATACAGTGATCCTCTCTCGCAGCCAGGATTGCCAAGCGTGACCATGGAGGAAGAATTTGGATGAAATTGTGACTTTTTTTCGGAGTGTAATGCTTAGCTAGGCAACTTGCAGCACGGAAGCTCCAGATGTCCTTGGATTGGTGAAATGATATGTTGGTTGAAATATCGGAGCATGAAGCCAACAGAAAAAAAAAATCGGAATCAATCATGTAATGCCAACCCGTATTCGTAAACCTCATCGGCTGTTGATCATTGGGCCTTCCCCGGTTACCTCCCTTCCTGCGCACAGCGCCGTACACTGAGGTCTCAAGGCCACAGGCACGTCACGGCGTCACGGCGTTTCGTGAATGCTCATGGTCAACCCAATGCTAGTAACCAAACTGAACCAGATACTTGTGTGATATATTATGTATGTACAATGCTATGTAATAAGATATATGAACCCAGTTCCATTGGGTCCTGGAAGGGGCATTGACAAAGGGGGAAATTGGGAATGTCCGCCAAGGGGAGCCAAAAGATATCTACCACAGGCCTAGGTAAATAGATGGATGGATGGATGTATGTTGTGTATGCTATGCATGTTATGTATGTTATGTGATGTAGGTTTGTATGTCATGTATGTCATGTATGTTATGTATATAAGCATGTCATGTATGTGATGCATGAATGCTGGGGCAAATGCTGCCAGGACTCAGCCATGAGCCTGCAAGTGCAGGCGCCGGTGTGCTCTCAGCCTGCAAGTAACCATGTAGTCGTCATAATGTCCTATGATGGTTGGTAATTTGTTTGATTTCGCAGATGTTTCCTCTTTGGAAAATAAGTTCACACGCAGCTTATGTATAGGAACTGATGATTGACAATTTGGCTGCAAAGACCGAAACTTTGGCAATAGGCTTTGCAAGACATCTCCTGGGCTCTGGATTGAGGAAAACCGTGGCCACCGTGGCAGGAGAGTGCCACGATGATAGTAGAGGAGGAGTACCTGGCGAGCAGGCGGTGAGAAGGGGTGGGTTTTGGAGAAACAGGGTGTGTGTTGGCAAAAGACTGCATGCAGTTGCATTTGGCTTTGGTTCTGAATGGGGCACAGAGGCTGATGACGGTAGGATGTTTACAGTGTTGTGAAATGGAGTTCGCCTTGGCGACGAGACGTTGCAATGTTTTGTCCCAGGTTTACAAGGATGAAAGTCAAGTGTTTGGATGACAGAAGATGCAAGCGTTTGGTATAGGCTTTTGAGGTTCAAGCGTCGCACACGGCAACCACCGCAATGGTGAAGTTCAATTTCTCCGCTGGTGGAGCGGCGACCACCGCGGCTGCCGCCACCCAGGCGACGGCGACAGAGATGAGTTTGGCAGCGGTGGCTGCGATGGATCCTGTGCCAATCCACCCTATCTCAACACGAGCACGAGTTCACTGGGTGTTTGGGAGTCAAAGCAAGTACCCGCAATTCAAATGCATTCTCTGTGCTCCTGGTAGCAATGCAGGGGAGAAGATCTTCATGTTGGCGAAGTTCAACGTGATCCCGGCCCGGGAGGTGAAGGTGGATCAGTGTGTGAAGCTGCTGGCGGTGGAAGTGCGGCAGACTTGGAAAAAAAGCAATGGTGAGATCGTGGAAGCTGCCCTCTGCCCGGATTTGGCGGAGTATGAACTTGCGGTGAACCTGCCAATGCCGGGGAAGCGGAAGCGGCAGGGAGCTGAGTGCCTTGACGTGTTTTATATAGTCTTGGGCAGGGCTTGTGGCAGTTGTCGAGGAGAAAAGTTGTGTTTTTGGACTGGTGTCAAGTACTTGGGAAAGCCATTGTAGGGTGCTGGCAAAAGGGTGGGTCTAGGCTAAGGTTGTGCAGGGGCAGGCAGCGTGTATGGGGGCACTCACATGGAGAATCATATGAAAATTGAACTGTGCGTAGAGTTTCAGAGTTTGCGTGGCTGATTGAGGTCATCTTTGGTTTTCCTCGATGATGATGCCTCGATGCCTACAGCTGATTTCGAGCTGCTGCCTGGCTTGGCTGGCATTGCGCTGCCATCGCCTGGTGAAGGGGAGAGCTACATCTCAGTGCGTGTGAAGGTTGTGGACCTGTCCGAGATTGGTGGAGATTCGCA